GGATAACAGGCTGCCGAGTGAGTTTGAGAAGAGGGCAAAGGAGTAGCCTGTGATTTTGTTCTGGTCATCTACCACTGAAAGAAACCAGACATGAGTGGGGGAATTCCCAAGAGGCAGGCAGATGAGAGACTAAAACTGGGTCAGGTTTAACCAGGCACATCGGCATACCTGAGCTACGCAGGTCCACCCAGCACAGACCGGGTCCAGACTCCTGCATACAAATACCTCCTCTCCAATGCTCCTGGCCACGAGAGGGACCAACTAGACAGTGTGGGTGACTCAGGGTCACCCCACCACAGGGCAGATCCAACTGGAGTGGGCCAGGAGCCTTCCCGTGTGAGGGAGGAACGGAGATTCTAGAGGAATGAGTCCACCACTGGTGGAAGGGGAGAGAGAGAGGAGAGGAAAATGCCTTTGTGGTTTTTTTTTTTTCTTAAGATTTTAAAAAATTTATTTATACATACAAAACTGGGGTACAGGCCAGAGGTGCGGGGGTGAGAGGATTCACCAGAGACAGAGTGGGGAACAGAACAAGCAGACTGACTGAAATACACTGCTGAGAGGAGGAGCGGGTGAGACAGGAGAGGTCTGCTGTGCCATGTGGGTAGCTCCTTGACTGGGGATCGAACCCTTGCTGCAGTGGCTGCAGATAGCTTCGTAGTGCTGCATTCTTAACCCCTTGTGCCACCAGGGAGGTCCCAGAAAATGCCTTTGGGAACAGAGAGCACAGTGCAAAGGAGAGGGGACCCCCAGGACCTGGCCCGGGTGACCTCTCTCCATCCTTCCCCTCCATGAAATCAGCTCCTCTTTCAAGATTTTTCTCTTCCTATTCTTTTACTCCCATTTTCCCTCTCTCAAGTCCAAGCCCTCGGTCTACCAAGGACCTTTGATTGTTCTAGAACTTTCGCCCTGACTTCAGGGTCCATGGACAAAGTGAAGAGGAGAGAGGGTCAAGTGTGAGGAACAGCCGGGGCCACTGACCTCACACTCAGGGCTTCTGAACTTTGCAACTTTGATGACAGCCGGATTCCTGTGTCTAAAGGATGTATACACGGATGTATACACACGGGGAGTTGTTCGCGCATTCTTACAGGGTTTAAGGAGCCTCTGAAGTCTGACCACGGACCAGTGCCATTAACTGTGGCCCAGTGCCTGCTGTGTGGCCTCGTGGGCCCTGTGTGGTCTCTGGACGCCACTTCATGGCTTGAGTCATTGCCAAAGTCCTTTGCTTGCTACTGGCTGGCTTGGGCAAATCATTTGAACTCAGTTTCCTCATCTGTGAAATAAGGAAGGAAATAGGCTGTTGTAGGGATTGAAATCGGAGCACCTGAGAGAGCCTCGGGCCCATCCGGCCTGTGGTCCACAATCAGGAAATGTGGTTCTTCTTCCCCAAGTCTTCCTGTTCGGACCCTTTGGCTCTGTGCCTTGCAGGTGTGCTGCATCTCATCAGCCTGGTGCTCCAGCTCGCCCACACCCTGGCCCAAGCAGCCTTCCATCCTCTGCCCCTTATGCCTCTGCATAACTGCTTCCCACACCAACCAAGCCAAGCGTGCACTCTAAGGAAACCGTCAGTACCGCTTGGGCCCTGGGTCTGAGCCACCTGTTCTCTGGCCCTCTCCTCATTCCCAAGGCCCAGGGAAAGCCTTGCCACTGCCCTGAGGCCAGTGTTGCCCCCTTCTACACTCGCCTCTCAACACTGTTCCCAGCCGGCCCGCATCTCCTCCAGGGTCAGACAGTTCGCCTTCTTCCTCGTTGCTACCTCCAGAACTCGGGAGCACTGGAGGTAAACCAGTGTTCGCTGTGGGACGCAGCCCCAGCAGCCCAGAGTGATTCCTCATAAATAAAAGGCAGGGGCCCCATGCCTTGCCTAGGGAAGCACGGGCTTGGGCTTGATTTTCACTGGTGGGGGTTTGCCCTGGGCCACCCACACCCTCATGCCATCCATCCATGGGGGCCCTTGCTGGTGGGGTTAGGGTTCACTGCTGCTGGGGAGGCAGCAGACGCATCTGCACAACCTGGGCACCGCCTAACTCGGAACATCTCCAAAGGCAGCCCTGACCGGGGCAGGCACTCTGCCCTTCCCTACCCACTGTAGCCCCCTTAGCTTCAGGTTGTCATGGCCTGTGTGGAGAGAAGGGCTAATGGTGAGCCCCGGGACACCGCACAGTAAAACACACGAGCAGAGGGGACTTCAGTAGGAACAGAGCAGAGCAGAGCTTATGAGGGCAGGGCAAGGAGCAACAGGGCAGATTTGAACAGTGGGAAGAGGTGGACAGTGTGGGCAGGAGGACTGCAGCGTGGAAGGGACAGGAGGAATGTGGTCACACGGCCCGGGGTGCGTGGGTGGCAGGAGGCCTGGCTGGAAGCCCAGAGAGACTGCTCCTCCAGCCGGCTGTCCTGGCCAAGGGCTGACAGCACACAGGAGGGATGGGTAGAAGCCAACAAGACAAATGCCACCTCTGTTAGTGCTGGAAAAGAAAACCCCACAGCCCCCGCCCCCTGTTCCTTCCCTCTTCCCACTCATAAAGCTCCCTGCACCCACAAGTTTCTTTGCGCCCACAAGTCTCGACCATCTCTTCTCTCGGTCACTCCCTTCCCTGCTCCCAGGGCTCCCTCCCTCCTGGGGATGGAACCAGTGGGGCCTGAGAGACAGACTGGGAACAGACAAGACCTGGTTGGGAGAGACCCAGGACCTGAGGTTCAGAAAGAGCGAATCATTTTATTTTATTTTATTTAAAGATTTATTTATTTATGCATACAAGAGCTGGGATACAGGCCAGAGAGATGCAGGAGGGTGAGAGGATTCACCAGAGACAGAGCAGGGAACAGAACAGGCAGACTGACAAAATACACTGCTGAGGGGAGCAGCGGGCGAGACAGGAGAGGTCTGCTGTGCCATGTGGGTTGCTCCCTGGCGGGCCAGGGATTGAACTCGTGCTGCAGAGGCTTCGGATTGCCTTATAGTGCGGTGCCCAATCCCTTGAGCCACCAGGGAGGCCCGAATTCATTTTAAATAGCATCCCAATAGCATTCCTGTGTGGTGCTCTGTAGGAAGACGAGGCGGGATGTCTGGAGAGGGACTGTCTAGGTGGCTGGGCTGGATTCCACAGAGAGTTGGGCCTGAGGGAGAGCCCGTTCTGTTTGCTTCCTCCAGTGGAGGGCACAGAAGGGACATAGCAACTCGTTTGCTGAGACCCTGAGCCAGGAAAGCTGCCATGTAATTTTTCTGATAATTTCACATTTGATCTTTATATGCGTATAAGCAGGTATGATTTGAAATATTACAGTTTATAGCTGAGGATGTCATTCAGAAAGGTTTGGTGAGATGCCCAAAGCCAGGGAGCTTACTGGGACTTGAACCCAGGTTACTCCAATTCTGAAGCTATCCCTCCCCACACATTGCATCAACCCTCTGCAGGGGACACTCTTCCATGACCTCCTCTCTCTATAGTGCCCAGAGGCCCTTTTCTTTCCTGTGCCCCCATGAGAGCTGGCAGACAGGCAAGGGCCTGAGAGCTGGTAGTCACTAGCTGCCTGTGGCTATTTACATTTAAATTCATCAAAATTAAAAATTCAGTTCCCTGGTTGGTTAAATTAGCCCCCCTTCAAAGGCTCAGTAGCCACATGTGGACAGTGGCTGCCATATAGCACAGCATAGATTTGGAGCATCGTCATCATGTCAAAGGTCCTATTGTCAGCCCTGGGCTGGGTTAGAGGCAGGGCAGGAGATGGACAGAATGGGAGAGCCCTGGCAAAGACCTGGGCAAGTTTGGAAGTGAGAGTCTGGGTGAGGGGGGGCAGTGAGAGGCCTAGTGGGCCTGGAGAGAGAGGACAGGGCAGCTTGGCCAGACTCCTGGCCCCTCCCTCTGATACTGATACTCTGGGCAATACCAGTGAGCAATTAATTGGCTGGGGTGGGGCCAGTGTCAAAGCAGGAGACAGGCAAAGGGGATGGAGGAGGAACCACCTGTGCTCTTAGCAGGTCCCAGGGCTCTGGCCCTCCGGTCCTGCCTTTCCATCTGCCGAGCCCTCCTTTACTCTACCCAGGAAACTGACTTCCTGTTCACTCATCCAGGCCAGGGATCTAGCTAAAGGGCTGCTGGGCCACCACCTCCCCAATTAGCCTTATTAGTCTCTTGCTCACAAACTGGAGTCAGGGTCATCACCAGCCATGGGGGAGGGGCTGTGAGTGGCCTGTGAGTAACCAAGGCCCAGCTATGACCGGGGTCCCAGGCCTTTTCCCCAGGCTGAGGTGCTAGGACCCCACACCCTCCGGCTCTCCCTGGAGCCCCCCAGAAGGGAGAGGTCTGGGAGCGGCTTTCAGAATGCAGGTTGCTAGTTTCTGAGAGGAAAGTCTCCCTGACTGAAGGCACAGCTAGTAGGTGTGTGGCACGCATGGTTCTTGAGTAGTGACAGCAAGGAATGGGGAGAAACAGGGGGATTATTTTTATATCTGGGGGAAGTGAGCAGGGGCTGAGTGAGGGATCAGAAGGAAGGGAGCGGATTGATCCAGGGCCTGTGACAGGGCCAGGCGTAACCGTGCGTTGGGGCCGGGTGGAGCAGACACCAGGAAGGGAAAGGTGACAGCCCAGCCTGCACATGGACGCATGGGGAGCTGGCCAAAACCAGGAAGGCAGGAGAGTGAGAGAGTCAGGCGAGTGGGCCCCAGGGTGAGAGTGGCCGCCCCGGAGTGGGCGGCCATCGGGGCAGAGCGCCTGGTTCCAGGTTAGGCAATGAGGAGCCAGGGCAGGCCAGGCAGGGAACAGCATTGTTAGGGCCCCGTGGCCATGGTACCTACACCACAGCCACCTCTGCTGCTGAGTAGGCAGATGCCCCGGCTGATTACATCATTACCTCCTGGCCACACCAACTTCCCCCAGGCACCTCCCCTCCGCCTTTCTCCCCTCCCCACTGTGACTCCTGCCCAGAGAATGTCCACCCTGGCATAAAGGCCCTGGGTGTCCATGAGCAGCTGTCAGACAGAAGGCTGCACAGCGAAGATGGGCTCCTCTCGGGCACCCCGGATGGGGCGTGTGGGAGGGCAAGGAATCGTGGCATTGCTGTTGGCTGGTCTTCTCCTGCCAGGTAGGAGGCTGGGGACCTCGGAGCTGGGGAGGAGGGAGGCAGACACCGGGTCAGGGCAGACAGGGGTCCCAGCCAGGGGGACAGGGCAGGCACTGGAGTCTGCCCTTGAGTCTGGGCTGCTCTTCATGGCCTTGCTGCCTCAGGCAAGTTACCTCAACGGACTGAGCCTCAGTTCTTGAAACCCTAAAATGGAGATGGCGATAACACCTAGCTCTCATCTCTCTGCTAGCCTCACCTACATACTGTCTGTGACAAGAACTTTGGGCATGCTAGAGGGTTCTATACATGCTGGTTGTTAGAGCACTAGAAGAAGATGGGACATTTTATAGTCATAGCAATCGCTGCCATTTATTGAGCCCTGTTCCTGTGCTGGGCCCTGTTATAGCACTTTAAATGCTTTAGATCATCAGCACTTTGGGTCATTAGAAGAAGCCTGAGAGAGAAGATTGGTTAATCCACTCTCCACATGAGGGCGTGAGGCTTGGGGAGGCGAGGATATTGAAGCTCACAAACCAGAAAGCAGTAAAGTCAGGTGCAAACCCCAGGATGTGCAGTTGAACACCGACATTTCCGGTGACCTGGCCCGTGGCCCTGGGCAAGGAGCAGGCTGTGTGGCACCTGGGGGCAGAGGAGGAGAGGGAGCCCCTATAGCTGGAGGAGCCATGTGAAGGGGGGTGTGGGCAGAGTTGGGGTTTGCTGTGGAGGGGACACAGACGTCTTCTTTGTGAGGAGAGAAGGGGGAAACCACAGAGACCAGGTCATTGATGAGGGGAATTAAAGAGGTGCAGCAGTAATGAATCATACCATCTAAGGCTTTATGCTTTCTAAAGCACCTTCTGCATACATAGTCACAGCTGCGGCTATGGCCATGAGGAAGGTGGGACAGATTCCAAATATGTAAAATACTTCACTCTGTCTCTGCTGCTGAGACCTGAGGGGCTGAGGTGGGGGTGGAGGAAATAGGGTTGAAATAAGAAATAGGGAAATGGGAAATAGGGAGGAAATAGTGGGCCTGAGGTTAGGAGCATAGGGTCAGTTAGGCAAAGAAGTGATTCCACATCCTCAAAGGAGGTAAGGGCAGAGGCAGGCAGATGTGGGCCTGGCAAGAGTGGCGGGGGGCGGGGGAAGGCAGGCGTGTGCTTGATGGCTACGTGGGGAGAGGGGAGCTGATGAGGCTGGTGAGCCTTGGGGAGGGTTTCATCCCAGTGGCCCTGGGCTGGGCCGGGAGAGCAGGGGTGGCTCGGGGTGCGGTGTCCTGTCACACTGGTATCAGCAGGTTCTGCTGCAATAGTCGGTGCCCCCACATCCGGAACCCCACCCAGCTTTCCTGGCATGGGCAGCCTTGAGATGGAAACAGAGTCTCCATCCTTGTCCTAGCCTGGCCTCACCTGAGGGGCTGGGGACCGAACTCAGCACTCAAGGGGCCTGGCCTGAACTCAGCCCCTCTGCCAATGACTTTCTCCTTTCCAGTCTCCTTGCTACTTTTCCGTCCCGTCTCGGTCCCCTATTGCTTTGTCATTTGTCTTCTCCTCCAATTGATTCCATTTTTCTTCCCTCCGGGGTTGTGCCCCACCTCTCAGTCTCAGTCTCCCCTGCTCTGTCTCTGGGTTCACTCTGGGAGCTCCAGTTGTCCTGCTGCTTCTCTCGTCCTGTTTCTTTCCCTCAAGGCTGTCTAGGTCGATGCCTCATTTTCCCCCTCTGGTAAGTATTTGGTTTTCCTTTCACCCGCCAGAACAATGAAATTACCCTTACTCTACCCTCTCATTTCAGCCAGTTCTCCCCCCCGCCCCACCCCCCAAGCCCTCCCTGGGCTCTGCTCAGGAGGAGTCAGAGCGGCAGGTGACAACAATGGGCCTGAAAAGATAAGGGAGAAATCAAGGCCATGGTCCTTACTAACCGCTACTTTCCTCCCCAGGGACCTTGTCTAAGAGCATCGGGACCTTCTCAGACCCTTGTAAGGACCCCTCACGTATCACCTCCCCCAATGACCCCTGTCTCAGTGGGGGCTCCAGTAGCTTCAATAGCCACAGCGGCTCCAGCGGTTCGGTTTCCAGCTCCAGCGGTGGCTCTGGCGGCAGCTTCAGTGGCAGACCCAGTGGTGTTCACAGCAGTGGCTCCAGTGGTGGCTCCAGTGGTATTTACGGCGCCGGTTCCAGTGTTGGCTCCAGTGGATCCAGTGCTGCCCAGGGTGGTTCTTCAGTATTTAAGCCAGGAACAGGGTATTCCCACAGCAGCTACTCCTCTGGATCTGGCTCTAGTCTACAAGGTGCATCCAGCTCCTCCTACTCAGGAAGCAGTGGCAGCTCCCACTCAGGAAGCAGCAGCTCCCACTCAGGAAGCAGCAGCTCCCACTCAGGAAGCAGCAGCTCTCACACAGGGTCTGGTTCAGCCCGACCAGTCAATGATGGCTCTTCCCGCTTGGTAATAAGCTCTTCCCAATCTAGAGGAGGCTCAAGCTCTTCTGGTTCCCAAACCTGGATGTCTAGCAGCAGTGGCCAGGTCAACTCCAACCAGCACCCCTGTAGCTCGGATATCCCTGACTCTCCCTGCAGTGGGGGGCCCATCGTCTCGCACTCTGGCTCCTACATCTCTGGCTCCCACTCTGTGTCAGGGGGTCAAAGGCCTGTGGTGGTGGTAGTGGAACAGCATGGCTCTGGGGGTCCTGGGGGTGTTCAAGGTGGCCCCTGCAGTAGTGGTGGCCTTTCAGGCAAGCCCTGCCCCCCCATCACCTCTGTCGACCAGTCCTACGGCGGCTATGAGGTGGTGGGTGGCTCCTCCAACAGTTACCTGGTCCCAGGCATGACCTACAGCAAGGGCAAAATCTATCCTGTGGGCTACTTTACCAAAGATAACCCTGTCAGAGGCTCTCCAGGAGTGCCCTCCTTTGCAGCTGGACCCCCCATCTCTGAGGGTAAATACTTCTCCAGCAATCCCATCATCCCCAGCTCTTCGGGGTCCAAGTACCCATCAGGATCTTCCTCGGTCATTGTGTTCCAACCAGTGGGCTCTGGGGGGGTCCAGCCCTGCCGAATTGGTTCCATGACTTCTAAGGGACCCTGCTCGCCCTTCGGTTCCGGAGTCCACAGTGGTTCTAGCAGTTCTAGCAGTTCCAGCAGTTCTAGCAGTTCCAGTTCATCCTTCCATCCCTGTGGCGACGCTTCCCAGGGGCCCTGCTCCTCATCAGGCACTGGCTCCTTCAGCGGCAGCTCCAGCTCACAGTCTGGTGGCAAGATTATCCTTCAGCCCTGTGGCAGCAAGTCCAGCTCTTCTGGTCAACCCTGCTTTTCCGTCTCCTCCTCAATATCGAGTGGGGGTCCTGATGGCTCTCCCCAACCAGATCCCTCAGCTGGTGCCAGGCTCTGCGGTTCTTCCAAGATGCCCTGCCGCTCCATCCGGGACATCCTGGCCCAAGTGAAGCCTCTGGGACCCCAGCTAGCTGACCCTGAAGTCTTCCAACCCCAGGGAGAGTCACCAGACAGTGCATAAGCCAGCTTTTCATACACACAGGTGCAGGCACGTGCGTGTGCACACACACAGTTTCCCCACCGGGAGAAGCTTAGGGGCCCAGGCATAGGGTTAGCTCAGTTTTCTTCCTCCCTCTCAAGAGAACTGCTCTGCTTTCTCCATTGCCCTATCTGGCAGCCTCTCCTTATCCACTCTATTTCCTCCTTTTCCCACACGGTGGACTCCAAATCCCTTTTTCTCATTCTTTCCTACTGCTTCGATTCCCATTCTACTGCAGTGCTCCCCCGACAGATACCCCCTAAAACAGTCTCACTGTTTCTTTGAAATGGTAACTACCCATTCAGAATTTTAACTGAGAATACCTCAAAATGTCCCAGAATAGTTCTGATGCCTGGACAAGTCATTCCGCCCCTCCCGCTTTGCCAGATAAAGCACAGCGCAAACCATTATCTGAAAGCAATAACCACTTTTACTGGCCTCTCTTGGGTATCTGGTCAGGCCACGTGATATGCCATCGGGTTCTCACACTCCCCACGCCACACCCACCTGTCCGCCGAGAGCTCGCCACACCCTCTGTGACCTCCCAACGCACCTCAAAAAATCTCCACCTCAACCCCCCTTTCAGGCTGCCGCTTCCCTCAAGACCAGATACTTCCCTGAGTGAGGGAGATGCCGGGTGCCTGGGGAGATTGGAGCAGGCTTCCTGCTCTCCCTGGATCCCGGGCAGATGTCCCAATAAACTGTGTGAACCAGATACAGACTCTTTGTTTTCTTGGAATCTTGGGTCTCCTCTAAAGAGCTGAATGAGCTCTTTTATGCCTCTAGAGGTCCTCATGGCCCCATTTTCACTGATACATTGGTCCAGTATTTCTCATACTTTAAGGCTCCTCCCACAATGGACGTAAACAAATATTTGACAAACTGAAAGTGGGGGCTTCTGGTTGTCCAGCTCCTTCCTCACACTCCCTTCCTCTTGCAGGAAGTCCATTTTCTCTCCACTTCCCATTCACCCTGCCATCCTCACCTCTCCCTAGAGGGAGCCCTAGTTACTCCCTTCCCCTCCCACCCAAATTTTTTCTCCTCTACCATTAGTTTGCCTCACCTTCTAGACACCGTTCTCTCTGGGAGTTCTGGGTTTCTGGGACACCTGGAATCCCGGGAAGACTGGAACACCCCGGACCAGATTCCTGGCGACTGAGTGGGTGCCCAGGCAGGCGTTGCTCTGGGAGAGAGAGGTGGAGAGAGCAGCAGCAGAGGGTGGAAGCATGTCAGGGAGTGCCACCAGCACAGTGACTCACCAGCCTGTATAAAAACTCTTGTGCCATGGCAGAACAGAGCCGACAGTATCCTCTCCAGCTCCACACTCTCGTTGTCTCTGCTGGGGTTCTCCAGTGGGCTGTGGGAGCGAGAGGCAGAGTGCCACTGTGGAGGAAGGGAGGGGCCTTCATGGGAGAAGAGAGAAGGTTGAAGTGGGGGGTGTGACTATGCCTTGGAGACCGGCAGTGGAGGGGCTGAGCAGAAAAAGTTCTCATCTCCCAAAGAGGTGAGTGGGTTTTGCCGGTCCCTGTAGAAGGGCCTCACCCTGCAGCACAGGCCACCTCTCATAACCTCTGCTTCACTGCAAAGGAATTCACCCCACCCTAGGGTCGAACCAATTTACTCCCATGGTGTTAGCTGGTCCTGCTAGGACTATTGTTGAAATTCCAAGTCCCAAAAAGGAGGAATGTGTAACATTGATCAGAAATGACCTGCAGGGTTGAAGTCAGAGGAGGGTGCAGAATAGCCCTGTTTCTGTCATCGCTGTGAGTCACCCTTGGTTGGGTATTTGGCTTCTGGGCTCAGTCAATGGCAGGAGTCAAAGGCTTCTTGCAATTTTGGAGAGAGACTGCCTGGTCAAAAGCTTTTGCAAAACTGCCAGCTATCACCCAAAAGGCTGCTGCCCCCTATTCATTGTCCATTTTGGAGAGGAGCACTTCACTCTCCCAGTAGCTAGCCAGCAGGCACTAGTGATGTGGATGGAGCAATATAGTCTAGCAGCCAGTATTTAGACTTCACAAAATCAGGTAAACCTAGGCCGGCTGCATCCTCAAAGCAATAGAGAGAAGGAAGATATTTAAACACTTTTTACTGGGAAACTTTCAAATGTGCTTAAGAGCAGGCAAATACTTAACGAATCCTTATGCTCCCATCCCCCAATTTAATAACTCGCAAATAGCCATTTGACAACAGCATTTAAATGTCCTCCTATAAATGCAAATGGCCAATAGGTATGAAAAAATGTTCAACATCACTTCTAATCAGGAAAATGCAAATCAAAACCACAATGACAAAGCACCTCACACCAGTGAGAATGGCACACATTAAAATAATGGGCAACAAGAAATGTTGGCGAGGATGTGGAGAAAAAGGAACTCTCCTGCACTGCTGGTGGGAGTGCAAACTGGCCCATCCACTATGGAAAGCTGTCTGGAGGTTTCTTAAACTACTAAAAATGAAGCTTCCATATGACCCAGCAACTCTACTCTAGGAATCTAAGAGTGGACATAAAACATTAATTCAAAAGGAAATCTGCACCCCTAAGTTTATTGCAGTACTGTTTATAATAGCTAAGCTGTGGAAACAACCCAAATGCCCAAAAATAGATGACTGGATCAAGAAGATGTGGTACATATACACAATGGAATATTACTCAGCAATCAAAAAAGATAAACTCATGCCATTTGCAGCAACATGGATGGAGCTGAAAGGGATTATGCTCAGTGAAATAAGCCAGAAAGAAAAACGAAAATATCAGATGGTTTCACTTATAGGAGGGATGTAGGGGAAACAAATAAGGGATCAGGGAAAAATAATTATAATAAATCAAAAAACAAAATTAATAGGCAACTATAAATCAGAGGCACTCTGCAGGGGAGGCGGGTGGAGAGGGATCAAAACAGGGGAGGGAAGAGCACAAGGATCTATGGTGATGGGTGCACAGGTGAATGGTGGTGGGAATTTTGCAGGGACTACACCTGAGAGGAGAAAGCATACATTTTCCAAAAAGGAAGAATGATGTAAAAAAATATGTAAAATTTAAAAAATTAAAAAAAAAAAAAACACATCCTCCTCTACAGTTAGCTGGGTACATTTGCTCTCTCAGTATTTCTGTATTCTGTGGACCCGTCTGTGGCAGGCAGAAGAGTGCCCCAGAACCCCACCCTAGCACTAAAGAGGTCCTCTTCCTAATCTCTGGAGACTGTGACTATAATAGGTTACATAACAAAGGGAAATTAAGGTTGCAGATGAATTGAAGGTTGTTAGTCAGCTGATCATTAAGTGGAGAGATTATTCTGGATTATTTGGGTGGGCCCAATGGGTCTTTAAATGTAGAAGAGAGAAAAAGAGGAAGTTACTAGTGGTGCAATGTGGGAAGATCCTGCTGTTTCTGGTTTTGAACATGGAGGAAGAAGACCACAAGCTCAGGAATGGAGGTGGCCTCTAGAGTAGGAAACTACAAGGAAATGGATTCGCCTTGAGAAACTCCAAAGCTTCTAGACACCTAGGTTTTAACCAGATGAGACCCATGTCAGACTTCTGAGCCTTAAAACCTTACAGTAAGTTTTTAAGGCTCCCTGCTGGTGCAAGGGATTATAAAGACGCAGCACTACGAACCTATCCGCAGCCACTGCAACACGAGTTCAATCCCCGCCAGGGAGCTGACCCACATGGTGCAGCAGACCTCTCCTGTCTCGCCTGCTGCTCCCTCCAGCAGTGTATTTCAGTCAGTCCTCCTGTTGTGTTCCCCACTCTGTCTCTGGTGAATCCTCTCACCCCTGCATAAATAGATAGATCCTGTACCCCAGTTCTTGTATGCATAAATAAATAAATCTTTAAAAAAAATCCTATATGGTAATAAATAAATGTTGTGTTATTGTAGCCATTATGTTTGTGATCATTTATTTTTGACACATTAATTTATTCAAATACGCTAGTCACATATATTCCAAGAACATGAAAATAACAAGCCAAATACAATCAGATATTGAAGATGGGTCTTCAAACATTATGGCCAATGAGGCTACACTTATCTATGATCTCAACACAGAACCACATGCACACCTCAGTGGCCACCAAGACGTCCTTAACTGTGAGCTGTTTGAAGCAACCAGTCTTAGCAAGATGGACTATTTTTTTCAAGCTGCAGGGATCTCAGCGGGGGTAGGAGGAACCAGCTCAACCTTGCCATAGTTCAAAATGTGACTAGGCGAGGCTCCAGTAAGTCACAGCTGTTCTTACCAGCTCCGGGGCCTTCCCTGTGAGGTTACAGACAAATTGGGCCATGGTTCTAAAACAGAAAGTCTTGTTCCCTGAACAGCTGGCTGAATGTGGTGGTAATTTATTTTAGAGTAGGAAACTAATACACCATCATCATTTAAGGATGGGAACTAGGTCTATTTCCTCAGAGACAGGGTCTAATCTTGGACCAACTGCTCATATGGGGGCTACTGCTACACCCAGAGTCTCCTACAGGTTGGGGTGAAGGCCAAGGAGCAATGAGATGCACGATAAAGGGGTACTAGGAGAGAATGATCTGGATCCCAAAGACAAGAGAATCAAGTGTTTCTATTGTGGCGAAGGCACTGAAGACACCAGGGTGACTGGCCTCGTAGGAACCAGCGATGCGCTGTGAGCCAGCACACCTGGGTTAGCAAAGGGCGGGAGCTCAAAGAAAAGAACAAGCGGGGGAACACCCAACTTTCCTGGGACATTCAAGTGGCACCTGTTGCCAAAGACTGAATTAGGAATGAGGGTGGAATGTGGAGATTATTGTCAGCATAGCCACTCGCCCCGCCTGTTTCTGCTGTCCCCCACCCCACTAGCAGGATAAAGGGCTGGCTGTCTTGGCTCAGGGAGCTGAGCAAGATGCAGGGCCGCATGGTGAGGAGCTGGGCTCCTCTGGGTGTGCTCCTCATCTGTCTTCATCTCCCAGGTATGGAGGCTGTGCTGGCCTTTGTGCAGGAGTGGGTGGGGGCCTTTGGGGAATTGAGGGAAGAGTAAAGACAGGAGGGTGCCCAATTGGGAACCCGGGAGTAGTGGGAGTGGTTGGGGGGGGGGAAGGGGCTTGAAGTGACGGAGTCAGTCAGGGACTCACAGAAGGGAGGGCACTGGGACCAAACATTCCATTCTTTGGCTGCCTCCTTTCCCCCCTCCTCAGGCCTCTCTGCCCGGAGCATTGGTGCAGCGGAAGAGAAAGCGCCCCAAGACTCAGGGACCAATTTGCTTCTGCCTGGACAACCTTCCTCAACTGGCCCCTCCAACTCTGAACATCCTCAGTCCCAACCAGAACTTAAGTCTAATGATTTAAGGAGCGCTCCTCTGAATCCCAATGCCTCTCCATCAGATGGCTCCCAAGCTGCAGGGGGTCCTGGAGTTCAGAGTTGGGCCCCATCTGAGGGACTGTCTTATGTGGATTCCTGGGCCTATGAGGATCCTTGGCAGATGATGGCCGCTGGGAATGAGGACTATGTGGGGGAAGCACTGCCCCAGGAGCTGTATTTCTTTTCTAATGATGCTGACCTCCCTCCAGGCAGCGGGCCCTTGCCTGCAGGGTCCTCAGGACACCCCACAGGGGCCCAACCTGAGACTTCACTCTCACAGAAGGACCCTGAATCTACACAGCCACCTCTTTCTAATACGGGGGCCCAAGAACAAACTTTTACCCAGCGACCCTTCTGGAATTTTATCAACAAGATTCGACAGGCCCTCCTCTCTGGTCGCCCCTGTGGGCTCCTGAAACCCAGAGTGCCCTTGGCAGGTAAAGGTCCTGCAACTGGATTGGGAACAAGGCCCATGCCTCATCCTGGGGTGCTCGGGGGCATCAAAAATCCAAATACTGGCTGGGGGAATATTAATCGGTTTCCAGGTATCAGCGGGGGGAATATGAATCAGTTTCCTGGTATCACCGGGGGGAACATGAATCAGTTTCCTGGTATCGGTGGGGGGATTATTAACCGGATTCCTGGTATTGGTGGGGGGAATATGAATCCGTTTCCTGGTCTCGGTGGGGGCATTATCAATCGGATTCCTGGTATTGGTGGGGGGAATATGAATCCGTTTCCTGGTCTCGGTGGGGGCATTATTAATCGGATTCCTGGTATTGGTGGGGGGAATATGAATCCGTTTCCTGGTATCGGTGGGGGCATTATCAATCGGATTCCTGGTATCGGTGGGGGGAATATGAATCCGTTTCCTGGTCTCGGTGGGGGCATTATCAATCGGATTCCTGGTATCGGTGGGGGGAATATGAATCCGTTTCCTGGTCTCGGTGGGGGCATTATCAATCGGATTCCTGGTATCGGTGGGGGGAATATGAATCCGTTTCCTGGTATTGGTGGGGGCATTATTAATCGGATTCCTGGTATTGGTGGGGGGAATATGAATCCGTTTCCTGGTATCGGTGGGGGCATTATTAATCGGATTCCTGGTATCGGTGGGGGAAATCTTAATAATCTTTTTCCTCCTGGAGTTGCCCATCCCCCTGGCTCTTCTCGGAGCATCTCACCTGACTTGGCCAATCCTGAAAATGCTGGGTCAGAGTAGGTTGGGAGAATCACGGAGGGGGAACCTGGAGTTGGAATGGAGAGGACCCCTGCTTCTCTCTAGCACTGTGAACTCAATCAAGGTTCAGTCAACACACTTTCCAGGACGGCCTCCTCGTTTCACTGCCTCTCCTGTACCCCCCACGTTGATCACCAATAAAGCACAAACTGTTGTTGAATCTGCTCTTTCTCAGTGCCTTTCTTTCTGGGTGCAAACTGAAGTGAATTTTGTCTGTCCCATTTTCTAGCCCCCCCATCTCTAGGGTCCTCCCAATGCCCTCTCGTCCCCATCCTTTGCAAAAGATCAAAGCCCAGGTATCTGGGGGTGGATCCCAGGATCTCACGGGGGGGGGGGTGGGGTGGGTGTTGGCTATAGAATGGTCTTGGAATCTGAGAAGGGGATGAGGGGCAGCAGGCTCATTGAGATGGCACCAGTGGAGGAGGGAAGGGAGAGGTCAGGTTGGTACCAGGGCCGAATGGGGAATAAATACTCCTTAATTCACGGAGAAACAGAGTTAGAGTAAGTCATTTGTCTATGCTGACCTTTTCTTCCCAGAAACCCAAGCTTCTCAAAAGTGGAGGATGCACTGATCTCTTCCCTGACATGCAGCACTTGGCACATTGTGCCCCTGAGAACCACAGACTTTTTTTTTTAAAGCTGAAAATGCTTCTTTTGGTTAAGATCTATTTATTTATGCATACAGGAACTGGGGTGCAGGCCAGAGGTGCGGGGGGATGAGAGGATTCACGAGAGACAGAGTGGGGAGCAGAACAGGCAGATCCACTGAAATACACTGCTGAGGGGAGCAGTGGGTGAGACAGGAGAGGTCTGCTGTGCCATGTGGGTAGCTCTCTGGCTGGCTAGCGATTGAACTTGAGCTGTGAATTCATGCTGCAGTAGCTGGCAATAGCTTGACAGTGCTGTCTTTAACCCCTGTGCCACCAGAGAGGCCCAGGACCACAGACTTTGAACATTTGCTGAATAAATAGCAGACCTCTGAAAGATAAAGGAAAGGGAGGAGAGAAAAGAAGAGAAAAATCCTACCTGCCATTGCATTTGATGCTTTTATCCCAAGTAATGACACAACTTTTCTTTTGGTCACACTGTTGTCTCTCTGTCCTCCCTTTGGTTTTCTCAGGAGCTCGGTGTCCTTCTACAGGAGTTGAGTGAGGTGGGGGAGGGTAATCTAAGAAAGTGTGATGGAAAGTAGTGGGAGTGGCGGGGTTTCTGGAAGAGGTTTCTGGTGGCCACCCCTTCTCTCTCCCCCTGCTGTGCATGTACTTCCCCAAAGGGATCCAGGTGTAAGGGCCCTCCATACAGCCTGGGCATCACCCCGGATCCTGGGATTTGGACAGGTCGTGGGGGAGGAAGTAGGAGGAGGATATACACCAGAATTGGAGAATAGTTTGCTACCTGCCTGAGTGCAAGGTGAGTGTTCTCAGAAAATATTCTCCTGTTCCAGTGAGTGCCATGAAGCACTATCCTGAGCTAAGAATTCCTTCTTGAGACATGTTCATATTACCACACTCTTCTGCTATCACCCCAACCTCCTCCACCAATGTTTCCCAGCTTCTCTCCATTTTCTGCTGTTCTGGCCAGGGGGTTCTGTTTTTGGCACAAGTCTATTTTTTGTTCTCTTAGGTTTGGGATCTGGTCTCACTTCTCTCTCTCTCTCTCTCTCTTTTTTTTTTAAGATTTATTATTTATGCATACAAGAGTTGGGGTACAGGCCAGAGGTGTGGGGGGGAGAGGATTCACCAGAGACAGAGTGGGGGACAGAACAGACAGACTGACTGAAATCCACTGCTGAGGGGAGCAGCGGGCGAGAAAGGAGAGGTCTGCTGTGGGTTACTCCCTGGCTGGGGATCAAACTCGTGCTGCAGAGGCTGAGGACAGCTTCATAGTGTGGTGCTTAACCCCTTGAGCCATCAGGGAGGCCCCGGGTCTCACTTCTCTTTGCCCCACTTTCTGGCTGCCTCCTATCTAGTCACCCCTATTTTCGCTGTTCATTTCTGTGTCAGAACCTTCTTCTTCTTTCTCCACACTCCCTAGAGTGCAAGCACCATGAGGACTGGGACTTTGTGTTGTCTTGTTTAAACACCCTTGTTTATCTTTTCACAATATAGGGTCTCTCTCTCAGGTGCTATCACCAAAGCTCCCACCGTCCTCTCCCTTCTCCTACCCCTCCCCTCCTGGATGTCTCAGCTCTCAAGTCTGCTGTCGAGGGTCTGTCTTACAGTTTGTCTTTGTTTTGAACACCGCTGTGCCCCAGCACCATGGACAGCGCAGCGTCTGGGCCAAGGTGGGCACCCGCTCCCTCTCCCTCCTCCATTTCCTTGCTGAACACATTTCCTCTCTCTGCTGAGCCTTCCGCCCCACACGGAATCTGATCTGTACTCTTCAGGCGCCTGCCCAGAGCCTCTCTGACCCTTCCTTACAGACCCCATTTCAGCTCATAAAATGTATGTTCCATCACTGAAACCCCATTACTCCCTGTGGGGAAGGTATTATAAGATGAAGAACTGAGGGGTTGAGCAATTTACCCAAGGTTACATAGCTCACAAGTGACAGGCTCTGACTCAAACCAAATTCTCCTCATTAGCTGTCCAGGGAGTGTTCACGTACAATCAACAATTAACCCATCTCATTTGTATTGAGTACCTACTATGTACCAGGCTCTGGACAAGGTGCTTTCACACACCGTTTTTAAGTGAATCCCTACAACAGTCCCATGGGGTAGGCACTGCTGCTTACTTTATTATTTATTTATTAAGATTTATTTTATTTATACAAGAACTGGGGTATAGGCCAGAAGTGTGGAAGGGTGAGAGGATTCACCAGAGACAAAGCATGGAGCAGTACAGGCAGATGACTGAAAACACTGCTGAGGGGAGCAGTGGGCGAGACAGGAGATGTCTGCCGTGCCATGTGGGTATCTCCCTGGCCAGCTGGGAATTGAACCCATCCTGCAGAGGCTACGGACAGCTTCAAGCACTGTGCTCAACCCACTGCACCACTGGGGAAGCCCCTACTTTATTTTTTTTTAATAGAGGCATGTTTTTTATTTATTTATTTTATTTGTTTGTTTTGTTTATACATGCAGTCGGCACAGTCAGAAGCACGGGAGGGTGAGAGAATTCACCAGAGCCAGAGCAGGGAGCAGAGCAGGCAGAAGGACCGAGGCACAGTGCTGAGGGGAGCAGCGGGCGGCAGGAGAGGTCTGCGCACCATGTGGGACCCTCCTCCGGTGGCCTGGGAGCAGCCGAGGATCGAACCGGCGCCGCAAAGGCAGCGGGAAGCTTCGCAACCCAGCACTCAACTGCTGCGCCACCGGGCAGGCCCCCCCTACTTTATTTTTTTTAAAGATTTATTTATGTATACAAGAGCTGGGGTATAGGCCAGAGGTGTGGGGGGTGAGAGGATTCACCAGAGACAGAGTGGGGAACAGAACAGATAGATTGACTGAAATACACTGCTGAGAGGAGCAGTGGGCGAGTCAGGAGAGGTCTGCTGCACTGTGTGGGTCACCTCCCTGGCCAGGGATTGAACTCATGCTGCAGAGGCTGCGGAAAGCTTCATAGTGCTGAGATTTAACCCCTTGTGCCATCAGGGAGGCCCCTGCTGCCTTTACAAGTCAGGAAACTGAGGCCCAGTTCAGTTAGGTAACTTTTCCAAGGTCACACAGTAAGAGGTTGAACTTGCTCTGACACCACTGGGAAGCTGCCAGCACAGTGACACACTGCACAGGACCGGGAAGTGAGCATCTGCAGCCCAGACAGCATAGTGGTCCCCTGCTGTCCTTCCTCCAACTCATTTGTTTGTTCTCAGCCATCTTTTTTTTTTTTTTTAAAGATTTATTTTTCTATGCATACAAGAAAGAGCTGGGGTACAGGCCAGAGATGCGGGGGGTGAGAGGATTCACCAGAGACAGAGTGGGGAACAGAACAGGCAGATTGACTGAAATACACTGCTGAGGGGAGCAGTGGGCAAGGCAGGAGAGGTCTGCTGCACCATGTGGCTAGCTCCCTGGCCGGCCCGGGATTGAACTCATGCTGCAGAGGCTGTGGATCGCTTCATAGTGCTTTGCTTAACCCTTTGGACTACCAGGGAGCCCCATCTCAGCCATCTTTTCATGTCAGTTTTGTTTTGTATCTCTAAACCCAATACCTACTTCCTGTGTTCCTCTTGTTACTCTGTCAGAAGAACATCCCCTCTTGTCTTTTTCCTGTTTCTTCCAGGTCAGCTTTCTTTGCTTTCAGCAAGCTGGTGATCTCGCCCTTACTGACACTTTGCCACATGTGTGAGTGAGCACACACATGCCAGACACCAAGGTTTTCCTTCTACACACTGACAGGAGGAGGTCAGGGGGTCTGTGCATTGCAGGGCAGGGGAGAGGGAGGAGAACAGGAGCTTCAGGCTCAGAGGCATGTGGCCAGGGGAGAGGGATCGTTTCTGATGCCCATCTCAGTGATGCCCACCTCACAGGTCAAGGAGGTGGATATGGCTTAGCCTGAAGCAGTAACACAAGTTGGGACTAGAGTTGTGTGTTCTGAAGGAGGGTCTGGGCTGATGTGCAGTAATTTTTGCTCTCAGAGGGTCTCTGCCAGATAAGCTGCACCGTGGAAAGGTGTTTAAACAGTCATGAAATCTTTTTGAGGCCATTTAGCTGGTCCTCCTTGGCCTTAGGATGGCAGTCATGCCAGATGGAGTGGACACTGCTATACTTATATCTCCTCTGTCCTCTCTTCCCCTGCTCCACAGTTGCCTCGCCACCCAGGCCCCCAGCCAGGATTCCCCTTGGGTTGGGTCTGACCCACCAGTCACAGATACTGGCTCCTCTCTTGCTTCACCCCACCCAAACTTACCTCTCCTGTACCCCACTGCTTTGCGGGCTCTCCTTTATTGTGACATTATAATATGCTGAATCAGGGCCCCCCTGGTGGCGCATGGGTTAAAGACAGAGCTATCAAGCTGTTGCCAGTTATTGCAACATGAGTTCA